CGCCAGGGGGCCCTAGCGCAGATCCAAGAAATCTGCCCGGAGGGCCAATGGTTTCATGATTATGCCGTTTGTTCTTCATAGCTTCTGGGTTTGTTTCCACGGTTTTTGCTTGCGCGCACTGCAAGTATCCTTCGTGATTTAGGTATGGCGCTCTGTTTTCAGGGTGCGGTGGTCCTTCGGGTGCCCGTTGGGGCGGGTAGGTACAAATACTACAAGACATCGTCAGAGTGCGGTAACGTGCGACAACTCTCCACTCCAGTCGGGAGGTCATAGTACCATTACAGTCGCGCTCTGAGGGCCCAGGGATCTGTGACATGTAGCGACTCTATCCCCCGGGCTCCGGACGGTTGTCACCTGTCAGAGCGGAGAGGGCCGCAGCATGTGACAGGCAGCTCCCTTTGGGCACCGAGAGTCGTAAGATGTGACGGTCGTTTTGGCCCAGTCTTCTGCGGTGTTCTGTCCGTGTTGGAGCTTCTCGAGAGCCGCTTGGGCAAGCGTCAGGGGCCCCTTGGGGGGCTCTTACGGCCTCTCTCCAGCTGGGGTGCGAAGAGCGGAGGAGGATGAAGAGAGACCATACATCCAGCACGACACGTTAAGGGTCATTGTTCTTCTTTCGGGGGGCTTTTCAAATCTAGCCAACACAATTCAACGCATCACGGGGTCAAAAGCACATGATTCGTCGATCTTTGAGACCCCTACGGTGCCCAGAGTTTCCGTGGGTCCCAGGGGTTTCGATGTCTGTTCATGGGAGCCTTGGGCGGCGACATTGAAATCAGTGTTTTCTGCATTTGTACCGCACTGGGGCCGCATTTGGTTCCTCCTCCTGCTCCTCCTCGTACTTCCTGTTTCTCCTTCTCCTCCTCCTCCTCCGCCTCGTTCTTGTCGTCTCCCTCGTTGTGAAGGGGCGAAGCTCGTCCAATTCTGGTCCAAATATGGTCCAAATCAGGCCCAAATCGGACAGCGCCAAGGGCCACGCAGGCTTCATGCAACGGACACCAAAGAGGGTCACCAGGGGAAACGACATGTCCGTGGGGCACCTGCTGGCAGCAGGGCCTCTTGCTCGGTGTCCCGACTGTCGGAAGGCAACGCAGTGCATTCCGGTGCAGTCCAGGACAGCCGTTCAAAGCAACGCGGCGCAGTGCAGAGCAAGGAATGCAAAGTTGCACAGCATGGCAATGTTGATCGAAGCAGCGCCGAGCGAACCATCGCACGTCAACACCACACACGTGAAAGCTGAGCAGAGCTGATACGAAGCCGTGCACCCATCGCAAAGCAACTCCAATGCCATAAACACAAACGAATGCAGCACAATATGCAACATCACAAAGCAACACATAGCAGTGCAACGCAACGCCATGCAACGCAAGACAAAACGAGCAAAGCAGGGCAGGCGAAAACACATCAATGTCAGCAAATCAACTTCTTTCAAATCAGCGCAGTGTACTGCAAACCCATGAAACGCAATGAGAACTGACGGGAAAAGGGGACAGGTATGAATAGGCACACATAGTGAAAACAGACGCGCAACCAGGATGAACAGAGTGACCTCTGGGAGCAAAGGGGTTGCTGGAGGGCCTCTTCGGGCCATACCTGAGGCTCGCGGAAGGGGGCGAGGGGAGGAGGAGGGGGAGGAGGAGGAGGGGGAGGATGAGGAGGAGCAGCAGGAGGAGGAGGAGGAGGAGGAGGAGGGAGAGGAGGATGCACACTGCCTCTCGGGGCCCTCTCGGGGCGCTCTTGGGGCGCTCTTTGGACGCCTTGGGCCCGTCTTGCGGCCCTCTTGGGGCCCTCTTTGGGCCCTCTTGGAGCTCTCTTGGGGCCCTCTTGAGACAAGGGCGCCCTCGAGGGCGCGAAGTTTTTTTTGCGCTTCGCGGTTCGGCTCCGATTCCTCCTCATCCTCCTCTCCTCCCTTGGGAGGCGGCGCGAGAGCGCGAAGTTATTCGCACTTCGCGCTTCGCGCAGCGCGAAGCACGGAGTTGGGAGCCCTAGTTGAGATCCTTGTGAGGTCTTTTCGGCGCCATTTTGTAGGGGGTCGATTAAAGCAGGGGAGGTCCTCGATTTTCGTCCCCCCCGCCTGGCGCCATCAAAAGCGCCTCTTGGTGCTGTTTGGGGGGCGCTCGTAGGCCGCTCTCGGGCGATCTTGGGGCCGTCTGGGGTGCTTGCTGGGCCTCTCTTGGGCCTCTGTTGGGCCATCGTGGGGCCATCTTGAGGCTTCAAAAGCGCATCGGCGAGAAGGCAAACATCAGTGATGCTCCCTAGGTGTTTGAAGGATTTTGAATTCTTGGGGGTCCTGAGGGGAATCAGGGGGCACTTGGAGCCGTCGTGTGGCCTGAGTCGAGCCTATAGGAGATATGTCGGAGGCTATCTTGAGCCATCTTCGGCTATGTTTAGCCGCCGTGGAGGCCATCTTGGAGCATCGGAGGCCCCGTGGAGCCATCTTCGGCCATCTTGGACGCTCTAACTCCTCCGTCCCCCTCCCGAACAACCTCAGGGAGGGGAGGGGGATGGTACCCTTCCCCGAAGGGGAGAGTTTTTTGTTGGCAAGGAAAACAGCATTCTCTAGACCACCTTCGCGCTCATCAAAGGGCTGGTGGTGTTCGAGTGCAGCAGTGCGACGCAACGCAAAGTCATGCAACGCGGAGCCGTGCAATGCAACGGAAATCCACGCAACGATATACAAGCCAGCGTACAGTAGTTCAATACACAATGGTGTTAGGACGAGCAAACCAGTGCCACGCAGTGCAAACCAGTGCGCGGAATTCCAGTGCGACATAGAGCAACGCCGTTCGGCGAAGAGCAGCGCAGCGCATCGACCAGCAGCGCAGTTCGGATGAGCAGGAGCAGGAGGGGGAGGAGGAGGAGGAGGAGGAGGAGGAGGAGGAGGAAGAACATGAAGAAGGGGGAGGAGGAGGAGGAGGATGAGGAGGAGGAGGAGGAGGAGGAGGAGGAGGAGGAGGGAGGGAGCAGGAGCAGGAG